ACTGGCACTGCCCAAAGCACCCAAAACCCCCCCCAAGCTCCCCCGTGCATTTCCATGCATCCAGAGGGTGAACCAGACCCAAAGAAAGCCCCGAACAGCTGCAAAGGTACTTGATCTTTTATTGGTGACAGCAGGTAAATACAAGATGCTGCCGGGCGGAAGGGCAGGGGCTGCGTCTCTGCAAGGGGCTCCCACTGGCCCACAGCCGGGACCAGGGCGAGCGTGGCAATGACACGGCCCACGGGCGACGGGGGGGCAGTGGGATGGGGAACGAGGGCTTCCCCAGCCCCACAGCTGCCTGCCCAGGCAGCCCAGCGCCCGGCCAAACGGAAATGCAAATGCTGAAGGGGACTATTTGGGGTTACAAAAATGAACAAAAGAAAAGCCATCTACACCTATTTACAGCGTCCCCCTCCTGCTGCCGTCTCGCTGCAGACGCGAGTCAGGGCTCGGGGTGTGCCCGGCCCCCAGGGCAGGTTGCGAAGGGCAGAGCCCCAGCCCCAGGGGACAGTCCTCGGCGTAAGCGCCAGCACCAGGGGCGGCCGGAGCTGCGCCGGCAGCCCCGTCGTACAGCAGGATCTCCGAAGGGGCTGCTGGCCATTGCTTGGAGGAGGGTCCCGAGAGACGGGACATTCCCGCAGGGCATGTACCCCCTCCACCAAGACAGGCAGACATCAGCGTCCCACTGGGACCTGGTGCCTGCAGCAGAAAGGCCAGCTTTGCACTGCGTTCCGGATTTCTTGCTGGTCATCTTTAGCTAAAAACGTCATCATGAGGATCACATCTGGGCCACCTCCTCCTGCCTGGGCAGGAGAGCTGGGTCTGCTCTCCCAAAGGAGGGACCCTCCTCACGAGAAGGGAAAAGGGAAGCAAGGTTACAGCAAGGACAAAGGGGGTGGTTCTGGCCTGGGGATCGATCTACAATCCACCATATAAAAACAGCTTGAAACAAAACCCATCATTTACTCTTTGATTTGTACAAAACAACAATAATAACAATAAAAATAATAATAAAAGGTGCTGGTGGCCCCTGGCTCGCAGTGCCCCACTATGGCGGGGGGTCTCAGTAGGCAAAGATGACATGGTAGGTGACTTGGTGCCCATTGTCCCAGGCGTAGAGCAGGCGGTCCTTGGGGTTATAGTCTATCTGCGTGGTGTAGGCGTACTCATTCTCAAAGAGCAGCCGGGGGATGATCTGTGTGTTGGTGTGCGTGTCAAAGGCGTAGGAGATGTTGGCGTTCCTCTTGTTGTAGCTGTCGACTGCGTACAGGACCCCACAGATGACAAAGCAGTTGCCATAGAAGTTCTTCCGCAGCCCCGTCCGCCATGTGGTCTCCTTCTGGGTGCTGAGGTCGGCCGCATTCAGCTTGCTCAGCACAATCACCTCCTGGTTGAAACCCTCATAGCTGATGGCCGGGTAGATGACCCACAGGCCGTTCTCATCCACGGCAAAGTCCACATCTGAGTGGCCCCGCCACCGCCACGGCGTGGACTCCTCGTAGGCCACGTCGTGCAGCATGGCCCAGGCAGCCACATACCGCTGCTTCAGGTCGTATTTGATGATGTTGCGTGTGAAGGCCCGGTTGTAGTAGAAGGAGCCGTTGTAGACAACATGCCCTGTCCCAATCCAGCTGTACGGGAGCTTGTAGGAGTTGCTCCAGCGCCCTGCATGGCAGAGACACCTTACTGGCAAGACCCTCCCTTTGCTTTGGGGTTGGCGGCCTCGCCGCATCAGCCCCCAGCACCCTCTGCCCCCAGCACTGCCCTCCCTCTCCGGCCACCAGCCGCAGCCTGACATAGTGACCAGCAAGTCCAGAGCCACTATGGGCAGCCCAACCTTCCCCGTGCTCTGAACCCCGCACGCCAGGTATGGGCACCCAAGAGGGGAGGGCCCCCAGGCAGAGCATCCCCCCCATGGTGCAGCATCCCAGAGAATGGGGATGCTACTTGGACCAGCCAAGTGGTGGCCAGCACAGCATCAGGGATCGTGCAAGCCCACCTTGCTTGAAGTTGTCCAGGTTCCTGAACTCCACCAGTGTGTTCCCGTAGTAGTAGTTAGTGACGTAGATCCTCTCCTCCCGGGCCAGAGGGTCCTTCATCCAGGCCCCCTCGTTGCGCCCGTAGGTGTTCTGGGTGGTGGGCCCCGAGATGGTGGACAGCGTGTCCTTGCAGCGCCCTGTGCAGGCAGAGATAGGCTCGAGAGGCCCGAGACAGGGCGGCCACATGCTCCCTGCTCCTGCTGGGGGTCTGCGGGCACCACCCCCCATCCAGCCCCTTGCCCACTCAGCAGGTAACCCCACTGCTTTGGCCTGGACTCAGCCTCATGCCCCTGCCCTGACCAAGACCTGTCCCAGGTCCCTCTCTGGGGAGGCCTCTTTCTGCCCTGCCCAGTCCCTCAAACTGGAAGGGGCCACAGTAGGTTCCAGAGTCAACAAGCAAGTAAAACCTGACGCCCCAATAAAGCACTGTTTCCATGACACCTCCCAGCAGTGACCAAATCCAGCTGTGCTGTGCTTAGCAGGACATGCCATGGGCAGAAGCCAGCCCCGCGCGCACAGGACCTGCAGGCACTCACCGATGATGCTCCTGATGTCCTCCTCTTCCAGGACCTGCTTTGGGGTGGCAGGGATGGTGGGGCTGATCGGCGTCGCGGGTGTGCTCGCTTGTCCCCAAGTGCCTAGGCTGCTCTCCAGGTCAGGGCTCGTCCCCGTGTCCCTCGAGGACCCAGCAGTGGTGGCCATGGCAGGGCTGGGGACCGGACTGGTGGCTGCAGGGAGGCTCGCTGTGGCTGTGGC